AAGTAAAGGCAAATTTAATATTTCCCCACCCCCTATAAGATTACATACATGATTCACTTCTTCCCATACCCCGCCTCCTTATCCATTTGCAGATCCAAAAATCGTTGTCATTTCTGTCCAAGTATTGGCAAAAAATCCATGAAGGGTTTCCAGAATTTTATAGAAATATTTCTTATTTTAACCCTGATCAAACAAATTGCTGTGAGGAATATTCTTGGCATTTGCCAGATAAAGTTGCTCAGCCACTCAGAGTTGGATTCTGGCTGGGCAAATCCTTTGGAAGTGAGTGAGAGACATCTGAGCCCAGTCATGTGGAAGGAGTTTGAGCTGGTTGATCCTGAGGAAGTGGACAGGGTCCTCACAGCCGTGAGCTCCTGTGTCCTAGACCCATGCCCCTCCTGGTTGATTAAGGCCTCCTGGGAGGTGGCATGTGGCTGGATCCAAGCAGTATTAATGCCTCTTTGTGGAAGGGGGTGGTATTGCCTGCCTTGAAGGAGGTGGTGGTGCGCCCCCTTCTCAAGTGGCCATCCTTGGACCCAGCCATGCTAGACAACTTTCATCCAATCTCCAACCTTTCCTTTCTGGTTGTTGAGAGGGTGGTTGGTGCTCACCTTTAGAGGCCCCTAGATAAAGTGGATTATCTGGGCCCTTTTTAAACTGGGCTCAGGCCAGGGTACAGCACTGAGGCAGCATTGGTCGCACTTGCTGATGACCTTTGGAGGGATCAGGATGGGGGTGGTGCAACTGTCCTGGCTCTCCTGGATCTCTCAGTGGCTTTTGATACCACTGACCATGGTATTCTTCTGGACCGGCTTTGGGGGTTGGGAGCAGGAGGCACTGTGGCAGTTCTGCTCCTTTCTCCATGGCCAGTTTCAGTTGGTGTGGGGGGGAAGAGGTTGGGCCCTAGGCCCCTGCAAGCGTGGGGTGCCTTAGGGCTCAGGTCTCTCTCCTCTCCTCTTTAACATTCACGTGAAACCACTGGGTGAGGTCATTTGATGACATGAGGGCAGTATCATCAGTACCCTGATGATACCGAGTTATATACTTCCACCCCTGGCCAGGCAGGTGATGCAGTTGTGGTGCTGACTAAGTGCCTGGAGGCTGTGAAGGTCTGGATGGGGAGAAACCAACGTTGACTCAACCTTAGCAAGATGGAGTGGCTTTGGGGTTTTGACCCCCCAGAGTCTAGTGATCTGTCATCTTTGAGTCTGGATGGGGTTGCACTTCCCCAGACTGAGCTGTGCAAAATTTGGGGTCATCCTAGACTCACGGTTCCTGCTCGAGCAGTGGCAGCCATGGCTAAGGGGGCCTTTGCACAGATTTGCCTTGTGTGCCAATTGTGCTCTTTCCTGGATTGGGAGGCCATGCTCACAGTTACTCAGGTGCTGGCTTCTGCTTCTGGGTTTTATGGATTATGATTTTATAGTTATTGGTTTTATTGTTGTGAGCTGTCTAGAGTTGTGTTTAAGATGGGTGGCCATACAAATATTTTAAACAAACAAACAAACAAATAAAGCACATAATCTGCATATTAATGAATGATGCTGGATATCATTGCCTGTGATATAGCTAGCCTTACGGTACCAATGTTCAAGTAACTGTTGAGCCAGGAAGTGTGTGTGTCCAGGGTCTCTGAGGGTCAGGATCCAAGGGGGAACCGCATGAGAGAAGCCACAACGCAGCTGTTTTGGGGCTGGGAAATGTGAAAAAGGGGCCTAGTTCATGAAAAGGCTCCAGAGATAGACCAGAGAAGATAGAGTGAAGGCCAGACACATTGACATAAAGCTGGGGAAAAGTTAGGTAAGCAGCTGGCTTAGAGACCATCTTCCTTCTTGAGTAGCAGCTACTGTGAAGAAGAAGAAGAAGAAGAAGAAGGAACAATGTTCAATCTGGCAGGATCCCTTGGCTAGGAAACAAGCTACTTGTCCTGTGACCAGGGAACAAGAGGGTTCCTGGCTTGCCAGTTAGATACTAAGTCAGTTGATGAGAACTGGAATGGGTGATGTTTCTGACCAGCCCAATCTTGCCCTCAGGAGCTCAGTTACCTTACTGAAGTGTTAAGTTAAGGAGTTGCACAAGGCCAGTAGAAGTCCTGATTCATAAGTCTTGGATTCTTAACCACTGTACATGCAGAGGTTGAGAAGGTGGTAATACTTGAAGCAACAGGTAAAAAGAGGACCAGGACTCTGCTTCTCTTCTAACCAGCTTATTTTCTGACAATAAAAATGCTGGATCTTACCAGAGGTCATCATTTACAATAAAAATTGTTGAGCAGTCAGAACCAGTGGTCCTTTTACAACTGAAGACATGGGGGGGGGGGAACCCCCAACCATATTAACAAGTACTAGTTTGGCTCATACAGAATACTTAAATAGGCTGCTGAATTAATGGAAACAATCTACAGAACCATAAACTAACCAGACTGGATCCACACAACATATTACACCACGCATGCACAAAACCAAACAAGGTTGATAGTACTGAAGCTTAGGATGTTATATGAAAGCATCTTGCTAGGTCTGGTTAAGTACATTATATAAATACACAGTATTAGGATAGCTGAGCGATTTGAATATAGTATCATCTAGTACCAAAAGGTAAAGTGTATTGTATTTCCAAGTTCGTAATAGGTGACTGCGCCTAGATGACCTTGGCTGGTTTCAAAAGAGGTAGCTGGTTCGTATTTGGATAGGAGGCCCCCAGGCCTTCCCTCAGAAGTCAGAAATGAAATGAAACAAAACAAAACAGGAAGAAGACCATAGCAAACCTTTTCCATTTTGTTGCTATGAAACAAATATGCAGATGTACGACAGCCATTTTGTTCCTTTCCACAGAACCTTGTAATGTCAGATGCAACTAAAGTGACCTGCACAGGACTCTCACACCAGGGACATCAAAGTCATTATGAAAGAAGCTGAACTGTATTACACATATAGTTTAAAGGACCTTCATTATTATACGTATCTTAAAAAGTGGACTACTTAATCCATTTCAGCTTCAAAAATAAAATTTAAAAGAATTAGTATTTCTACAGGCACATATAGAACGCTTGGAACTCTTATTTTACCTCTTCTGTAACAGTACTCAGGGTAAACAGGTCTTTATTACATGAAACTTGGTGATTCTAATGCTACTATTAGCACTGTGGATAAGTTCTGTGTTGCTGCAGTGAAAATGCATCATCGAACACTGTACCTCTGCCTATTATGTTTTTACAAGGTTTATGCTTTACCAGTTTCCTTGATCATAATAGTAAATGGAAAAGTGGATTTTTTTAAAAAAAAATCTAAATCAACCAGAAGCATTATGCATAGTGCCAAAATCCTTCCTTACAATGAGTCCAAAAGAGGAAAAGCTGCAGATCTTATTTGCAATGGGGAGATAATTTAATTCCTAATGGTTAAATTTCTTCCATGTTTGCCATAAAGGTAAAATGTAATATGCATATAATGCAACACCTGATTAAAAAATTAAAATGGAATGCTTTAATATTAAACTACACACACACACACACACACACAAGCTAATTTCTAATATATATTAGAAATTAGTAGAAATTAGTTTGAATCTCTTTTGAATGTTCTCAAGAGACCTATTTTAAAAAATTCATTTAAAACTTTGCAGACTTGGGGCCAAACATGGACAAAATTTTGGGGAGGACTACATTATGGACCTGAGCAAACCATCACCCCTAGGATGAAATATGGGGCAATGGAAACTTGTTCTTTATCCACTTGGATCAACCTTGGAGACATTCACAGTAGCAGCCAGGACTGTGCATTGTAACTAAGCTTGTTGAATACAAATATTCATTGCTTGAAGCTGTGTGTGTGTGTGTGTGTATAAAATGCTGCTTTGACTGAAACATATCCCATCAAAATACTGATGTGCAAAATACTGATTTTAAAATATTTGGGTTTAAAGGTTTCCCTACTTATAGTTGGAGGCCACACACTAAATATTTTTCCAAAGCATAACACCAGTGATCTGTTGGAAAGGGGGAGGGGGGATAGTTGACTTAACCCGTAACCCATCCCTCACATTCATGAATAGGTTATAGAAGCTTTTTAAAATCAAGAGCTATATTAACATTGTTATATCTAACCTTCCTTATATCAGTGTCATTTCAAAACAATTGCTTAGCTGAAACATTAACTGGGTGTCTCCCAACCTAACATATCCTACAGGACTATCCATAGATGAAGACAAAATAGGAAGAGGAGGATGGTTTGCTTTTCTTGAAAAGGACATGCCAGGTGATGACACCCAGCTAACTCTGGCTAAGCAATGTTGCACTTGGTTAATACTTGAATGGGAGACCATGAGGAAATCCCAAGAGTGTAGGCTGGACTAGGAAGCTGAGAGAAATATCCCAGAAGAAAGGAAAGGTGAACCATCTCCCAATTATCCAAGAAAATCACCCAGATCTACAGGCAGAGCCACCAACACTCACACTTGGCTTAAGGGGGTTTTCCCTTGGAAAAAAGAGTAATTAACATTCCTGGGTCAAGCTTGTGAAGTTGGAACACACAGTGAGGGCTGATTTTAAAAGCCCATTTAAAAAGACGGGAATTGCTGCGATATGCAGTTGAATCAGGGGTTTCTTCCTCCAATTATCTTTAAGCAATTAAAGGGGGGGGGAGAAGGAGGAGGAATTTTGATAGGCACAATGAGACGCGCGCCCCCCCTTGCTCTTCGAGTCTCATGAGAGGGAGGGGACCTTTTATACAAGGGGAGGGGTGGCTGGGAGGGAACACTGCAAAAGTGAAGGGAGAACCTTCCAGCTTGGTATCCCCTTTCCCCCTCCTCCAGGAAGCGTTTCTTACGCGGAGCTCCTCGGCTCTCGGCCACTGCGAGGCGATCTCGAGTTCTGGCCAGTGGCAGCCCGGATGTAGCAGCGCAGCAGCCAGCGCGAGCCGCCGAGCGGTGCCTACTGGCCTCCCTCGCCAAGTGTGGCACCGCGGAGAGCAGGAACATGGCGCTCAGAGCGATGTAACGGGGAAGGAGCAGGAGATGCCGCGGGCGCCCGCCTGACACCCAGCCGGCCGGCCGTCGGTAGGCACGGGCAGGGCTGGGGAATGAATGGCCCTGCTTGGGACTTTGGAGCCGCATCCAGAACGGGGAGAGGAAAGGGCGGACCGGGAGCATCCGTAGCCTAGCCCGGAGGGAGGGAAAGAGGGAGGAGACCCCTGCTTGTCAGCGCCTTTGTCGGCTTCCCCCGTCTCCGTAGGCAGCGCTGCCTTCTGGCTTGCGAGGCCGGCAACTCCGCCGCGCAGAAACGAGAGGGAGCCGGTGGGTGGGTGTGGAGCGGCGTGCGCCATCGCCGGAGCTGCCGAGGGGGCGACCGGGAACGAGAGGATCCCGGGCGGCATTTGGGGATGGCGTCCAACCTTCCCCGGCTCCAGCAGGGCCGGAGCGGCGGAATCACG